GGCTTCGTCCGCCAGAGTAATCGTTGGCAGGTCTCGGAGGTCAGCGAGGACGCGGTGTCGCTGCGTCTGGTACCGGATGCCGAGATGTTGAAGAAGTGGCCATCCGAGTTCGAGTTCATCTACACCGTCTCGTTGGGTGCCAAGTCCCTGCGCCTGAAGATGGAAGTCACGAACACGGGCCCGCAGCCGCTTGAGTTCACGGGGTGCTTGCACACGTACTTCCGTTGTGAGGCCTGCACCGATGTGGCCGTGGAGGGCCTGAAGGGCGAGACGGTTGACGTGGGCATCGGCGATTTTTTCCGCGGCACTGAGGTCGAGGACCGCGAGCAGGTGACGTTCGACGGCAAGTCTGAGATCCAGCTCCTGTACGGCAGCACTGCGGACGCTATCGTGGTGAAGGACGGCGACAGGCGCCTGCGCCTGACAAAGATGAACATGCCGGACTGGGTGCTCTGGAACATCGGCGACGACAACAGGCACTCAGAGCCCCGAATCATCAGGGATAACTCGGGTCAGGGATAACTCGGGTTCGGTTTTCGGGAATCCAAACCCGAGTTACCCCGGACCCGAGTTACCCCGGGTATTTCGGGCGTCCAGAGCCCCGAATCATCAGGGGTAACTCGGGTCAGGGCTAACTCGGGTTCCTTTTTCGGGAATCCAAACCCGAGTTACCCCGGACCCGAGTTACCCCGGATAACTCGGGCGACCAAGGCACACGCTCCCAGACCTGCCCCTCGGTGAGCAGAGGAAGTACGTATGCGTGGAGCCCGGGTTCGCCACAGTCCCGCAGCGCGTGAAGCCAGGGGCGACATGGTGCGCCATGCACGAGGTCGAGGCGTTGTGATGCACAGATTGTCGCACCGCTCGTCGGAGGCATTATTTTTTCTGTGGCCGCGTGAGATCGCCTTGAGTTCCGTTTGCGTTCGATCATTGAGCCCCGTTTTCGCCGGGCACATTCGCCCGATCTGAGTTGTGAATATCCAGCTGCCTGCGGCAAGTTCCGCCACCGAGCCAGCCCAGCACTCTCGGGGGTTGCTGCTCGAATCGATGAGGACGACGATGACGATGATAATGATTGGGAGGTTAGAGGAGGAGGAGGAGGAGGAGGAGGAGGAGGAGGAGGAGGAGGAGGATGGGAGGGAGGAGGAGGAGGGGGAGGAGAAGGAGGAGGAGGAGGAGGAGGAGGAGGAGAAGGAGGAAGAGGAAATAAGGAGGAGGAGGAGGAGGAGGAGGAGGAGGAGGAGGAGGAGGAGGAGGAGAAGGTCCGATGAGGTCCGCTGAGGAGGAGGAGGATAATATTGCTGAGGCTGCTGATGATACGGTGTCTCTAGGGCCCGCCACGCTGGGCGAGCACCTCGGCTGACGCCGAGGAGCATGCGGCCGAGCCAGTGCCCAGCCTTCAAAACTTCAGGATAGTACCTCGGACCGACGCCGAGGCGCCAGCGCCGAGCAGATGCCCTTCCTTGAAAAGCTTAGAGCCACCCGACGGCGACTGAGACTTTCCAGCGGATGCAAGGGCTGGCCCCTGGGATTGCCGCCGCCGCCCCGAACTTGCGAAAACACCAGCCGCGGCCGAGAGGAGACACGAGCCGAACAGGACCGCCGCGCCGCCACGCACAGCCACGCACAGCCACGAACAGCCACGAACAGCCACCCGCTCCCCCGGTTCAGCGCCTCTCGGGCCCCCGCCGCCTTCTGCAGGGCCTCCTCGCTGGAACAAGCATGGACTTTCGGGCCAAAGCGCTGCCCGGCCAATGCTACGAACCTCGCCGCCTCAATGCCCTCAGCTATGGCCTCGAGGTCTGGAGCCTTGCCCTTGGCGCAGCCCTTGCCCTTGGCCTTGTCCTTACGCTTAACCTTGCTTTTGCTACAGCCCCGCCTGGCCCTGATGCCAATGCCCGAGAGCCCACCGGCATCAGCAGGCATAGCTTCATAACCGCATATGCTTATTCTTCTGATTACTCTTCGCTGCCCTTGTACACCGCCTCCGTCTCTATCGGCTGGTCAGGGCCCGCGAACTGCGCATCGAACTTCAAGTTGTCGCGTTCGGTGAGGTGGCCCTTGCATTTGATTGAGACGAAGCTTGCCACCTCCAGTACCCTCGCGAGTGTACTCGAGCGGCTTGTCAGAGACCACCTGCTTGCGCCAAGCCACTACGGTGGGGTCGTTCGTTAAGGAATGTGCCCAGGAGGCTCCAGACCCTGGGGGCTTCCTTATCTCATGAGGGCGGCGGTGATATCCATGGCCAAGCCTCCAGTGGAATCCCACGGGCCTCCAGACCCTGGGTTCCTTATCTATAAGGGTTCCTTATCCAATGCCCCCCCCAACCGTAAACCGAAGCCAAGCAAATCTCTGAAGTAGCCGCTAGCAGGAACATCCGAGTCGTTCATGCCTTCTTGGCCCAGCGATTCCTGCGTGACCTTGCTGAACCACTGGCAGCCGTCTCCTACGCGTGCGACATGTTCTGCTCATTGTGCTGATTCTCCTCCAGCGCCGTCGCCTTCTCCTTCTTCTCCGTCAGCTGCTTCTGCTCCTTCTCCATGCCCGTCGAGAAGTTGAG